TGGTTTTTCAATTCAAGGGTTTTTTTTTTGGAAAGATTTTTCAAAAAAGAAAAAGAATTTGTTTGCAAAAATAAAAAATACGTAGAATTCCCCACTTAAAAGCAAACCCTTTTTTTGTTTTTATATTTATATATATATTATATATATAATTATATTGTCAAAAAGGTTAAAGATTCAGAATTAAGGGACATTTCCCGCTTATCCAATTTCAAGACCCCAGATTCCGTCCCAATTTTTGTTTTTTCTTTAATTTATCCCACCTTGAGACCATTGTTTTAAAGGGGACAAAACACCTTGCTTAGGTCTTTAAATTTTTTGTATTATCTGCTGGAATGCCCTAAGGTTGTCACTTGATATTTCCAAGGTGTCAAAAAAAACCTGTTTTAATTTTTAGGTTATTGTATTGAAAAAAGGCAGAAAGTAAATTTAAGAGTAGTTTAATGTTGCTTTCACTTTTGTTTGAATTTAATTTTCTCTTTTATAGGTGAAACACCAATCTGTACATCTTTAGTTTAATCATGAAAAAAACTAAAAATCGACCCGGAGAATTTAATATTAAATTTCAACAAAATATGTTTTCCTTATTAATTATTTATTTTAACACACTTTACTATTGTTTTTGCAGGTAAAGAAACATATTGTGTGTTTAGACAAAATAACTGAATTAGACCATGGTTAACAGTAAACAATGATAATAATATTCACAATTAAGACAACCCGACAATTAAGGCCACTTTTGTTCAGTCCCAATGGTGGTCTTAATTGAGGGTTTGTACTGTATAAATATATCATCTTTTGTTATGATACATAATGATAATATAACAAGGAAGGAAAAATAACAATGATTTAATAAATAGAAACCTTAATTCAATGATTATTTGTATACTGACTTATGCAATGACTTATATGACAAAGCTATATCCTATTCTATATTGTCTTGCAAATTGTGCATTTTGTTATTTAAATTATAAATAAAAGTATGACATCACAAGGAAGCCCTGACGGGTTCTTCTGGTTTGTGTCTATTATCTTAATACTTTCAACTTTAGAGGAGTTTCGATCTATATTTTATGATCTAAGCGTTAATACATTTATTTTATTTTATTGACTAAAGTATCAAAAGTATAAGATCAAGTCGTTTTTAGGAGCATGCTGACATTAAACTGACATTTTGTAGAGGCCCGGTGAAAATGGATGAAACGATTAATAACGTAATGCTATAATGATGGTAAATAACAGATGAATAAAGTTACATAAAAGTAGACCCGAGTACGAAGCTGAACTAAACTTTGGACAACCAGATTCTAATGGAATGTTTGATACGAAAATGGTTTGACCTAGTTATTGACAGTAATGTAATGAGACTTTCACAAAATTTGTCTTACACCGTTGATACGATTCAATCTCAGGATAAGATGAATCGTAAATGTAACGAGTGATTTTTCACAGTATACAAACGAAATCATCGTACCCTGTCTTGAAAGCCTATAGAATTCAATGTGACCTATTTTTGCTATAACAAGTGCGTGTTACGTCCGATCACTGTACCCTTCTTGGGAGCTTTTATCTTTCTATTCGAATCTTGCGATAACAGGAAAAAGACTTATTTATATTCTGTGCTTTTATCAATGCTGTAGCAAGGGCTCCGCAAGACAATGTGTATTAGATAATTATTACAATAATGGAATGAAACGGGAGTAAAGTTTCACTTTAGAAACAAAATTGTGTATATTTACTTTTTATTTCATTTATTGCATTTATTTATTTATTAATTTATTTTTACAAATGGGGAAATATATCTTTTAAAACGTTATGTACGAAGATCGTTGATGTTTCATTGTATCTATTGTTTCTAAGTTGCTAAGCATTTATTCTTGATAAGAAAATAAATGACATTGAGTAGAATTGAGGCAAACCTATGTATGGTGTATAGAATTGTTACCAACGTGATATGACATGTTAAATATTTATCAGTTGTTAAAAAATACAATTGTACTACATCTCCTTAATTGTAATTATTCATATCTTCACAATGATGTATATTTCGGCATTTGTGTCAATTGTTAATAAATTATTAGCATGTATAATGTATCGGACAGCTTACCATACTTACTCATTTAAATCTAAGATTATTTTTATTAAAGTATTTATGCATTTTTATGTCATATGCATGTATTCTTTTACATGTACTTTTATTGACTATGTTTTGTTTGTGTATTACAAAGTCATTTCAATCATGTTGATTATTTCATCGGATTATTCATATCATCAATGATTACACATATGTCAGACCCAAGTAAGACCATATCATAGTCGCCGCTTTGGCCATTATACCGTGTTAAAATTCCATATGTAGCTACAGCACTCCTACTAAACGCTAGCTCTCTTACATTTCGGTGATCTGTTAAAATATAAGAGCCATTGATAGTTATGTTAAAGAGAAATGGCTCTCATTTAAACAGATCACCAAAATGTGGAACAGCCAGTATTTAGTAGGGGTAAACAGGAAACAAATCTACTTGAGATAAATTATTCGTATACTTTAATTAGGCTATTTTTCTTTAATATGATTAAAAGAACAATAGTGAGACATCCGGTTTGTGTGATGTCTTTCATGGTTCTAGACACGATGCCAAGAACCTCATACTGTGTATTTATATAGAAATCATATCAGCAAGAGATGTCAAATCTTTGTTGTTAGTCGAGGCCGGTCAACCAAACAATGTTTAACTAAGGTACAATAACAATAATGACGTCTTGCGGAAATATTTTTTAAATATCGCGCATATGCCCAACTGATTCTCTGGTTTGAAAGTCAAAACTAGATATAGAGATTTATAAGCGTATTGATGACAATGATATATGTGGTTTTTGCGCGCTATTACTGTGCAGCTTAATTTATTCGTCTCTTAAGAACGAACTCATTGGATGTGGGACAAAATCTTTTAACTGATAAAATTGTTGTCATGATATATGACTGGGTGTATGAATATTTATACTTATATTTATATTTTTCGCTACTTAATGTTAGAATTTTCAAATTTAAATGACTTATCATATAAATAGCACACAATTTCAATTACAATTGAAGATAGTTTAGAAACGTTCTGAAGTATTAAATTTATGTATTAAAATAGATTTGTTAGGACTACGTGGGTTGTTCTAATATTCTGTGACATTGGTGTTTAAAGGCTAAATAATATTTGTACGAATTTGACATTTTTAATATGTTATAAACCTATATAATGGAAACTTTTTCACAAATGTACATAGAAAAATATCAACGAACAAAAAATAATGCCAAAAATACCATGACAACTACAATGTATCGCGGCGCACATCAAATGTCAAAGATGGCGTTAAATCTATATTAAGTACCTACTTCCGGTCTCGTTGTATATGCCTTTTCAGAGGGAAACAGACGACAGAGATGAGTCTTTCTATTCATGTTTTCGCTTTCTTCAGTGCGGAAGTCTGGATCCGTTTAAATCTATCGTAAACAAATGATCGGATATGTTGCTAAATTATTCTATTCCGTACATTAGTTAAAAAATTAACTGGTGTCATTCCGAAATACTCACGAAACCTGATAACTGTTCACTGCGCCGCAAACTCTTCTGACGTCGCCATTTTTACTTTTCATTTTTTGTATGAGATATTTTCATTTTTTGTATTACGTTCGTTTCTTAAGTTATTTAACTGAAAAGCAAATTATTCGACATGCGCTGGGACCTCAAAACAATGTCGTTTATATTGACAAGTTTTAAGAAACTAGACTAGATACTTTGTAAATGATTTGTTGTAATTTAAATTAATAAACTTAAAGGTTATATGTGTGAATTATTATCTATTGGCGTTAAAAATGAGCCGACTATAAAATTTGTCACAAACTTTTGGGACAATCCTCTTATGTCTATTGACATTTATGTCGCTACACAGTTTGAACGTTTTGACTGGGAATTTGTTGTATTAAAATGACTTTCCATGAGATGTCCATTGAAAGGCTTATGTTCTCTTGACTTTAGAAAAAGTAACAAGACATTTAAAAATTTGGTTCTTTATTTCAAAGCGATAACATTATATATTTAGTGAATTAAATAGATTTACAAATCTGGTACAACAATGAACACATTCAGCTCTCTAATGTTCTCGTAACAAGTGAAATATAGAAAACTTAAAAATATAAGAAAATATTTACAAAATAATCATTATTTTCTTGTATCAAAATATAGGTAATTTCTATGTATGAAATGTCTGTATAATAACGGAGTATGTAAAAATAACTTTTTTACGCAACTAAAAACAAAACAAAAAATAATATGATGCATTTTATGTACAATTTTCATGCGTTAGTATATCATACATTAGCAGAAACGGAAAGTGATTTCTGCTATAATACAATAATATGTGTAACAAATAATTAATTTTATTTATCCTACATGCTACATATACATCCATGATTTTCCCTTTTGAATATTTTACAATATCAAATATTCTAATTACAATAATGTTACTACACTATGTTGTTATCGAAATTTGGAATTGATATTCTTTCAATTTTCTATGCGATTGTTTTTTTCTCAAAATAATCTATTACTCATCTACAGAAAAAGACTGTTGAAGATTTTCTTACTCTTTTTGTGTGGTTTTATATCATAAATATGATGTTCAAATGAAGATTTATCAATATTGTAAGTTCCAAAAAGCATTATTTGCAAAGATATAACCGAACTTACATTTCATATAAATAAAGGGAGGTAATTAGAACTATATTTTCTATAAAGTCTAATTTAAATCTTTAAATAAGAAATGAATGCATATATTTTAATGATTACAAATAATGCGTAAAAACTATCCACATTTGCGGTACATATTTAACATAATCTTGGTTGTTATGAAAATAGTTTTAGAAGAATAATGATATACATATATAAAGGATATATACAGGATCTTTAACTCATAGAATAAATCATAGTCAATAGATATTCATAGCTAAATGACTAGACCATTTCATGTATATCGTCAACATCCAATTTACGCTCTTGAAAATTGTGCTGAACTGCCCCATCGCTTGTAAGAAGCGCCTTTACTGATGTGTCAGAAGATAGAAGATGTAACAAAGCCTCGTGAAGGAATTTGTATTGCTCCTGAAATAGTTATAACGTTAACATTACAAAACAGATTGTAATAATATCAACTAAAAATATATTCCAGGAAACTTCATTGTTTAATCCTAAACATTATACTTGTAATGTTAATCAGATGTAAAATATAAATTCGATAATTTTATATTTGTCTTGTTTCTATGAATATTAAGTTTTATGAATTTTGTCTTGAAATAGAATTTTATTCTAATAGGTAAGATATTTTACAGAAAAGTTTAACCATACAAAAATGGTTATTATTAAGTACACGTATTTCTATGAATGAGTTAAGACTGTTTAGCTTGCAATTTGTAAATGATTCAGATATTTTCGTGTTTTAATGAAAGAAATGTAGCAAATAGCACAAACAAATGGACATATATTGGCGTTTTCATTATTATTACTTTTCAATCCGAGATATTGAAATGAAACCTACCACTGTTTGTACTAAATTAACTCGATCTTCTCTTAAGTTTCTGACACATGCAAATATGTCCACAGTACCCTCAGCAACTCCCTCATTGGCTAATATATCTAATGCAAGAAATGTTCCTGTTCGTCCTACACCGGCACTGAAAAGATAGTATATGAGTGACAATCATCTCTTGACCGGTATGCACGTATTTGGATTGTCCCAAAGTTGCTTAAATAACACAAACAACTAGAGTACATGTTTTTACAAAATTCTTATCATTGTGGTTTAGCTGTAAACATGTAAAACGGGTTAAAATGTGTCCAAACTATGATCAGTGCAAGATAATATTTCTTTTATGTACCAGTTTTGATATGACATAGATTAGGAACTGATACCTGCAGTGGACAAGTATAGGCCCCAGCTCAAATCTAGGTATTCTTGTCAATTTCTCCCAAAACTCGATCATGCCATGGACATCCCGCGGTGTACTCTTGTCTGGCCAGGCTGTGAAATGCATCTGATAAAGTATTCTCTTTTCAGTTTTCTGTATGGAATAAAGCCAATACACAATTATTTTCCAAAATATAAAGGAAGGTTTCAATAATCTCTTGTATTTGTCTTATGGTATTTATTTTTTTAATTTTCAATTTTTAAGATTTATTTATTCTTATAAATTACAGTTACTGTGCTCATATTACTTATACGTTGTACTGGAATTAAATAAAGGATATTACCATTCCGAATACATCTATGCGTTCGATATGTCACAAAAAATACTTTAGAAAAAACATACTATAATTTTGATATGTAAGAAAAGATTTTTTGCTTCTTTTGGTGGTTTAAAACTGCGTTAAAGCGCTTTTGCTCTAGTTGGTGGTTCAAAAATGCATAAAAAGCGTGTTTGCTCTTGTTGGTGGTTCAAAACTGCCAAATGCCGGGGCTATGGTCATGAGAGTTTTGAATCTACCCCTCTTAGTAACTTTTTTTTTCATTTTGATTTTGCGTTCCATTGTTTTAAGTGACCTCCTTTTTCAAGTTATGTTAACTATTGTAAGTAAAAACAAATAGTTTGGGTTTTATTTTTTGACTTATAGCAATAATACAGAACATCTTTACCTCGACGGAGAAAATCCTGACTGCGAAACAAGGATATATTTCCTCAGACTGACATGTTACTTTCACGTCTTCATACATGATGCATACATCTTTATCCGGCCAGTATTTGTCACATTTCTGAACCTGTGTTTTATAGAAATAAGTTATTATAAGTGATATTTTTATTACATGTAATATATCTTTCAATCGATGTCATTTGATAATAATGCAATGTAACATTGTCAATACAATTTAATAAAATCATAGTTTTTAATTTGTTTTCAAATTGAAAGTGACATTATGCAAATCAAAAAGTAAATGGTCAGGAAAGAATCAAAACATCTTGACATTTTTGCCATAATTGTATTTACTATGAAAAATAATATATTACGAACATTTCTATCAATATCGTGGCAACGTATCATAAACGTTATCAATTATTGGTCAATTTCCATTATAATACATAATCTTTTTAGATATACTGCTAGTTTTATTTAATTGTACAGCGAAAGAAATGAGCATATTGTCTCCTTTAACTCATGTAATAAATGTTTATACTTTTTACATTTTTAAAGTAAAACTAACATTTTGCAGATATAAATAAAATAATTACTATACACGTTTTCCCTAAAAAATGAACGAAATACCGTATAAGTCCTTTTTTCTGCGGGAACTTTATTTCTGCTTTTTCCGCGGTTCATAACGACACCGCAGATTTTAAAACCGCAGAAAATTAAGCATTTGCGTATTAACATGTACATGTCTTAATATGTCAACTACCGGTAGTGTATAATTTTGTTAACATGTACCGTTATCAGCTTTTGTAGATTGGAATTTTTCTTTATGTATCTGTCGTGAATAAAATATTAGAAAAAATCGTTACTTTGCTTGTTCTCTTTGTTTAAATAAACATCATGTGTGTATGACTTTCGCTCACCCTTAGCTTGATTTTTTTTGTAAAATAAAACTATTGTAGTTTGACAGGTGCAATAAACATAGTACCCTTTTGTATTTGTATCTTGTGTCTACGTGCGATTTTGCCATCGTTTATTATTCACACTTCATGTTTATGCACATACAGTATTAAACTTGTTGTCATTGTACGTTGTTGTTTTTTGTTTATTAACGTACATGATAATTACGACGAAACAAAATATCAGTCCGCTGCATGTTAACCGGAAGTAAAGTACATGTTACATCAACAAATCTTGAATGTTGTCTGTTTGTGTCGATTAATTTTGTAAAAATATCTTAATTAAAATGCAGAAATAAAAAGAAACAATGCGAGAATGATGACACCGCAGAAATAAGATACGCAGAAATTTAAAACCCCTTATTTAAACAAAAATCGCAGAATATTAAACCCGCAGAAATAAGTACTTATACGGTATAAGGTATTCTTCCTTAAACAGACGCCTTGTTCAGTTGAATAAATAAAGATCATAGATAATTTGTCAATTAATCAAACAAACAAACAACAAAGTTTGGAAACTTACCCCTTGTTCTATAAGATTTGTCAGCATGACTATTTTACAAACTCTTTCTTGCCAAACCATGTTCCAGAATACTCCAAAATCAGCTCCCATTTGCTTAACTGTTGGTCCTGTAAATGATATTTGTAACGGTTTTAAATAATGTAATTAATTATTCATTTTCGATACATTCTATTTCATTAAAGTAAGTAATTAATGACCTTTTTAAAAAGTAGCAACACTTTAATAAGATACTACGTTTATATGACAGCGCCGGCTTGTATTTCAATTATTATTTTTAACTGTTTATGTACGCTACTAAGATCTTTTTTTAAATTTAGTATCTCTTAACAATTATAAATGACTGAAACGCGCAGTATGCTAATGTGATTTACTGATGGCAACTCCCTTTTCTACTTTTATTGAAACCTTTATATATTAGAATAAGCAAGGTTTTACGCCCCAGTCAAACAAAGCAATAAATTTAAAATTGGTCATGAAGTGTAAAGATCATGTATGTGTATGTATTTATGTATTTGTGTTTTTTTTACGAATCGCAAAATACATCGTGTTATTCCGCAGTAAATAATATGTCTTATTCAAAATCATATAAGGCTCGGCTGCTTCGAAGCCGAATGAACTGTTCCGCAATCCAAAGCAGGGCAATAATTGAGCAGGATAAGGTGAAAAATATGATTTTTCACTCCATAGTTTTGTAACATGTATATAAATTATATAAATATTAAAATGATAACAGAGATGTGTAAGATACATACCTAAAGATGCTATATAAACCTTTTGTCTTTTATAACCCTAGAATTGGAACAAAGCTTTAATATTGCATTTAACACAATAGAACGGAGTTCATCAGTCTGAAGTAATACTACTATAATAAGTAAATTATTGTCCTTGGTTGTGAAATTAATGAATATCCGATAAAAGTTTTATACATTAAATGTGCATATGGTGATACTAAATCGATTTCAACTTTATGTTAATGTATTTAGATAAGTATTTACCAAATACTAACCAAAGATCAACATATAGTATAAATAAGTGTTAGGTATGAGCGAACTCGTTAACTAGTACAAATACAACCTCAAAAATAGAAGGGCTTCAATTATTCAACTGTTCGATTTTCACGATAAGGGACATTTGGTTTAAGTATTTTATTACTAAGCGTTTTGTTGTTTCTAATTTTTCCCATTTAATTATACCTTTCTCTGTTACGAACTGTAAACGTTTATAAGAAGTTTATGTTATATATCAATCTTACTCACGTCTATATAACTGGCATTGATGTAGTCTGATTCTCTGTTTTTAAGAATAACCCTTCTGTTGTCATCTGTAGCGATAAATCAACCAATAAAATATTTCATCAAATATCTTCATTGTCATATTTCGTTCACAAAATGTCGCTAGTAACACGCAAAAACTATCACCTCTAAATAAAGGGCTAATTCTTAATATCATACATTTCGCCCTTCATAGGCAATCATTATCGCGTGTTTAAATGTCGCTTGTCTCTCATGTGATAATTAGCGAGTAAAGAACACACAGAATACAAAAATTAAGACGATAAATATCCAGGCGATGTTTTTATATTTCGTTAGGCTAAGAATATTTTTACCAGTTCTCTTGAAAAGGCGAAAGACTAGCGAAATCTATGAAAAATTAGGACGAAGGGCGATAATTATCGCTTGTTACTAGTTAAATCGTGCTGACGAAATAGGGCACCGTACATATCTGTGCAGCTTTTCCTTCTCAATAAAGATCACATGGCACGGTTGTGCATATGTTATGCATACGAAGTTTAGTGTAACAGAATATAAATTCACTTTTATCTTTAAGCTACAGTTGAAAATATCATAAAAACTGAAATAGCTACATTTCGGTAATAATGGGTTCAATATGGTCTACCGTTTACAAATGAGACTCCGCCCTTAGGTCATTCAAACATCTACAGAAATATACGATAGAAACAAGCATTTGATTAATTCAATAGAGATGTTTAACACAAATGACAAAAAATTGTAATTAAAATAATTCATTTCTTTAAGAAATACGTAGGAAAGATAACGTTACAAAAACTTTTCTTATGTTAAATTTTGGTGATTAAGCACAGAAAATATAATTTGGTCTGTTTATTTGATGGGTCTAATTTCGTAATTGTGACTTTAAATTGTCTTCGTTCTGTTTTGAAATTGGCATGTGTTGATGTGTTAACTTACATGGACAAACATCTTTATAACGATTTTTCATCACGTTTTCTGCCTTCTGTGATTCGTGGAATGGTTTAATGAGCCCGTCTGGTAAATTCTGAAAGTACAAACAAACTTATATTTGTACATGCATTTCTATACTGTTTATGACATGAAATTATGTATGACACAAATGCATGATGAGTAACGAAAGGTTAAGAAATCGAAAGGAAACAAATCTGATTAATATCTTTGTTAGTCAAAGACATATACAAATTTATGTACATTTTGATGATTAACATAACATTATACTTTATCTGAAGCATTATTTTTTTACATTTTGAATTTCCTGTTTAGTCGACAAAGGAAATTAAAAATTTATTTACGTCCCTATGTTATAACAACTGAAATCGATAATATTTTTATTTATATGAACTATTATCACAGTCCTCGTCATCATCATCACCATTATCATCATCATTATTATTATTATCATTATAATTACCGATTGCATTATATTTAGTCACTATTATTAAAGTATCCAGCGGTCCATATTGTCTGCTTTTTTCATAATTATATAGGTGGTACAACATATTAGGTTTTTGATTTATCCTGTCACTTGTATCAATTTCGGCCTGATAACAAGGTGCCGTATATTTTTACTGATCTACGGCACTTTATCACGTGGTATGCATGTTTGCCGGACTACTTTTTAAGAAAAATATAAAACTGTCGTTAAATCTTCTGTGTGTAGAATAACGAATTTTGGAAACGTTGATAAAACTTTGTTTGTTCATATTATTTCACTCTATAATTTTTCAAGCGAAATAAAAATATTAAAAGTGAAATAAATGTAAAACTTAACTCGTTTGCGACATTAAGATAGCGTTCTTGATTTGATTGTTTTGCACGTGCTGTTTTGCACGTGCTGCTTAAAAAAAAACGATGACAGGATAAATAGAATAATAGATTGGTGCCGTGGATGGAGAAAGTTTATCTGGCTCTGCTCCGGAAACTATTGGATTCGCCTTCGGCTCACCAAATAACAATAAATTCCTCCGCCTCGCCAGATAAACTTTCTCCATCCACGGCACCAACCTATTATTCTCTATATATATTTCCGAAAGTCTTAACATATGGGGTCATGTATTATGAACCCAGTTTTGAAGATACTTAATGTTGTTTTTTTTTTTCATAGATTTGATAAATTTGACTTTTGTTATGTAACGAATGTTCATTTCGCTAACAGTAGAATACTCTACTGTTTTGTCACAAGAAACATATTCAATAACTAATGTAATTAAACAAAACATGTACACTGACGTATAATTGATGGGTTACACGACATGTCATAAATGCTAGTTCTACTCAATCAAAGGGGTTATCATTCACATTCACGTTGGTTGACGAAAAGGGGTATACATTTGCCTAAATGTATTTAAGGATTAGTTGTCTTGTTGATTTTTTTACGTCAGAATACCCAAACATGTATGTTCTCATGCAAACAGCTATTCATATATAACAACATGGCACTAGTAGCGACACTGTGTAGTTACAGACGAAATTACGGATAAACGGCGTGACAACAGTACGGGGGAATAATGAAACAACGAACACTCAAAATTGCCATCTCTCTAAATAGAAAGGTAGCGGGGAACAGACATAAAAAACATCCACCTTTAAAGACTGTGTTTAAATGTTACCGTGAATTCCTCTAAATACTCTATATCTTATTTGTTTTCAATTAATTCCCGGAGTTGATTAACTGGAACTCGTCTTCTTAAATAGTCCTCTGCATTTGCGTATAAAAACTCGTCAACCTGCATTTCAAGTCAAGTATGAACACATTTTACAACATAACTTTAAATCTGTAAACATAAACTTACTTTATAAATTAAATATACTCGAACGAATCTAACTTTAAAAAAATAAATCAACTTTTCATGCAACGTATGAATAGTACAAGAAAAAAAGAACATTAATGGGACGGTGTGGCTGAGTGGTTAAAGCGTCGGACTAGTAATTTAAGGATCTCTTGTCGTATGGGCTCAAACCTAATCAGAGGCAAGCCTTTTTTCCTTAAGAAAACAATTTTACACTCATTCCTCAGTACAGGTTGATTAAGAAATGGATCTGAGACTGTGCCTATAAGCGTATGGCTTCCTACACATTCGAACTTATTTAAAAATAAATTATGTATGAACTAACAAAACATCTTCGTTCTAGACATACATCTTCGTTCTAGACATCATTCTCTAACGGAAGTAAATGGGACACATAACATCAATATATGTATAACTATAATAATACTGATCATATTATTAAATAAATCGATTAGATGATTTACTCATATCACAAACTAATATTTGTATTAGCATAAATCCAAAATGATTTCTTATATAAATAGTTGCAATAAAACAAGTGAAATCATAATCAAAACCTTGCAACAAGATGACCATTGTAACTCGTTACTAAATGGCAAATGTGCCTATTGATAAAGAGAAAGAATGACTTGTTGGCCACGAAGAAAACTCAAACTTGTATTTTTTTTATTTTGAATATCTGTTGTGCTTTACCGATTCCTTGACTTCAACAACTTCATTTGTATTGTCCTCAGTTTCTTCAACAATATCAGGAACTTGTTTTCTCTGAATACTTGCGTATTCGGCAACGTTAACATAAACACTTTCCTGTATGGGTTCACAAACATTTATTGCTGCATTGCCTATATCAGCTAAATTTTGGTAAACTATTCGTTGTGCGTCTTGTTGCCGTCGGTTATTCTCGTCTGAATAAACAAAAACAAACAGTGTAATTTGCTTGATAAAAAGTATAATAAATTTTTATTATTCTTAAACATTTTGCTGATAAAGGTGATACATTGGATTATTGTTGTTTTGTTATTTTGTTTTTCTTTTATTATGAATTTATTATTTCAGTAATTTACTGTCGACTTCTGAAATATAAGACATGATATTTTTCATAATATCTTATCTTTCACATGGACTGTAAGATAATTATTAAAACAGAAATGTGCTATCAACCGTTGTCAAATTCGTCGATCTAAATTTATTTTATTATTATAATAATTGTTAAAATGTTGAGATATTCATGTGCAAGTTTAATACCTATTTGTTTTATTAAACTCTGATTAACTTTGGTTTCAAGATAAAATCCTTATATGACTTTAACAGTACCGAGGTGACAATGGATAAATTGCCTGTTTTAGTTTGAAAAATGAATTCAAATAAAATCGATAAAAATAATATCATTTAATAGTATTTACTATAGTTTCGTTTTATTTGCTTGGACAGGATACAATTTTCATGCATTTTTTTGCAATTTATAAAAGTTCATAATCTATACGTGTACGAAATATTACTCAACTAGAATAATATGTCAGAACAGATTAATCAGTGAGCCCATTATGATAAATGACGAATATAATATACTGCTTCCTCATGTTCCTGTTATGATTAAGCGCCCCGTAGAACAATGTCTTATTCATCTCAGGATATTAAATAATGTATCAAATTACAATTGTTACACCAAGATTTAGTTTCCTTATTTCTGACTCGTTAAATGAAAAAGTTGTGCAGTCTATTAAATGTAAAAAAAACAAAACATAATTAAAAGATTTTACTATTATGTTCAGAAGGTAGTATATCTTGTGATCTTCTAACTTGTCTATAAGTTATAGAATCGCCTAAACTCCCCGTCACCAGATTTTTCTGTTTTGTAATATAACTGAAAATACACCAATCATGCAATATCAACTTTTATTAGACAGACATCTCCTTTTTTTCAAATAAACTTGCGTACGCAATTGTTATAACAGAATAACATGTTTTATGTTTGTTGGAACAGGTTTGTAAAAACGTAGAGGAAAATGAATACAAATATAAGTAAACTAACACTTTTAATTTAACGCAGCATACCGTGATGCTTTAATAATTCAAACAAACAATTTGAAAATATTTTATTGTATATACTTCAAAAGCACGATATGCCTAAAAATGTGTGTTTTTCTATCCTTAGAACCAAAAAATACGTGGGTTTTATAACGTTGAACAAGAATAATATTACAGCATGTACGATACTTATCGCTTCAAGAAATAAGCAAAGAATATGAAATTATTTGTCATGAAAGTACCTAATGTGAAGAAAGTAGTATTTTCATTTCCATAAAAAAATACTAAATCACTATCACTGTACTTATAACCAAAAAGCAGCATAATCAATGATGGTTCCGGAGGTTGTTAAAGTTACCTTAAATAACATTTGTTTTGATTTACAAACTATATAAGTATTTTTAGCATAATCATACGGGTTTTATTTATGTTTTGATATAATCAACTCAAACCTCGTTATTAGAAATATTCCCATAATGACCGCAACAAGGATCAAAATGACAAGAGAAACAATCAGCAAACCAATATGAATAGGTTGTAATAAGCTGCTTGAAAATCCGTCTGGGCTTACTGTTAAAGAAAAACAGAAATAAAACATTTTATGTATAAAGTTTGAAAACTATTCAATACACAATCAAATTAGCAATTTGCAAGAATCGTAATCTATGTTTAAAGATGGTGTAAAACTTATTTTGATTATTATTTTTACAAATCATTATTTGTAAATATTTATAAGCAAGAATACTAAAATTACAACTTTATATTTTTACATGTACTACAAGTATGTTAAGGATTTGTTTCACAAACGTTCTTACTGTTTTCGCGTACACACGTTTTTCTACCACATATTATAATTAAATAATGACAAATACTTCTACCTGTTTTGTCGCATTTGTTTCCAAAGTATCCCAGCTTGCATTCTTTATTACATGTTCCCGTCAACGAGTCGCAAGTTCGATTTATACATAAATAACTACACACCTGGTCACAAAGTAGCCCATAGAAAGTATCGTTGACGCACCGACTACAATTACCTGACCCGCTACAAATGCAATTATTTGGACAATCACACATGTATCCATGATATCCACCAACACAGCCATGACTGCATGTTCCATTCTCTTTAAAACACGTGTTATTGAGGCAATTATGTGCACACAGCTTCTCACAATACTTTCCCCAGTAACCTTTATTGCAGCCGTTGTCACAAAGGCCGCTCTCTGCATTACAAGACGCATTAAAACAATTCGAAGGGCATTCATGAAACTCGCATTTGCTTCCATACATTCCATCTGCACATTGTTCACAATGACCTGTTTTGATATTACAAGAAGTATTATTCTTACAGTAACTGCATTGTTGGCTACAATTTTGACCAAAATAACCAGTCATGCATGAATCACAAAACGATTCGTTTGTGCATTTCAGACACTGCGAGGGACATGTTTGTTCACATTGTTTACCATAAAATCCACTAGTGCAATGTACACAGTTTCCATTCATAAAACAATAATCTTGCAAACAACGTTTTGAACAACTATTGTCACAGCGCTTACCATGATAACCGTTTTTACAATTATTGCAATTACCTAAATAATTGCATGAATCCAAACAATTTTGCGGGCATGTAAGGTTGCAGAACTGTCCGTAAAACCCTGGGATACACGAAACACATGATTGGTTAATCAGACACCTTTTATTTAAACAATTTTCTGGACATTTATATTGACACTGATAACCCCAAAATCCATCTTGACATGAGTGACATTCTGTTAATGATGTACAAAGATTGCAGTTATTATAACATCGACTTTCGCAGTTTTGACCATAAAACCCAGGACTGCAAGAGTTGGAACAATTTTCATTTGAACATGTATAGTTGCAATTACTGCCGTAAAACCCATCTTTGCATTTCGTGCAGTTTGTTTCTGATAAACATGAAAGACACTTATCAGGGCAATCCTTTTCGCAGTTTGTACCGTATTTTCCGTCTACACAGTGCGTACATGGCCATTTGAAAAACGGCTTACATCGTTTGCATTGACCTGTCCATTTATCACATTTGTTGTCAAGACACCCATTTGAGCACTTACAATTCAATCCAAAATATCCAGTATTGCAGATAATGCAACTTCCATTTAAATCACATGTCAAGCATCCTTCAGGACAGTCAAATTCGCAATTATGTCCAAACTTTCCTGGAACACATTTATTGCAATAATGTCCAACATGTGTTTCCTTGCATGAGCAGTTACCAATGTTCATATCACAAATATCGTCCTTGCATCCTGAGGAGCATTTTTGATGGCATAAATTACCGTAAAGACCACTTTTACATTCGGTGCATTCATTTGGTGAAGAACAAGCTGCGCATTTGTCCTGACAAGGTAAGCATGCAGAATTTGACAGGAAATAACCTGTTGGACATGACTGGCAATTAGTATCATTTAATCGAAAGTCTTGGAGACACAAATCGCAAACCAATGGCCATTTGCAAGTTTTACAGCTATTCAAACATTCTGAACAAACCTTGCCGTTTTTAAAATAACCAGTGTCACATTCTAAACATTCGGCAGCCGATGAACACTTTTTACAACCTTTCGTGCATGGCTGACAAACAATGTTATTTGTAATATCATGTCGAGCATAAAATCCAATGTCACATGTTTTACACGTTTTGTTTGATGAACAATCCTTACAACCTTTGGAACAGCTCTTGCATTCCTCCTCCAGCATATAATATCCCGTTTCACACTCATAGCAGTAACCGAATGACTTACATTTGCAGCCAATCGGACACAGAGGCTGAATTGATTCTGAAACGAAATTATTATTTTTCTTAGAATTCTAAACGCTATGTTTGTATACTCAAAATTAATTCAAGACACGTTAGTTCCATTATTATTCAGAAGGAATCCGTTATTTACCAATCATTTTTGCATCATGACAAAGAGATGGAAATAAGATATCTAACTCTCCTTTCAAATAACAAGCAAAATAATTATGTTTTGTACAATAAATGTAGAAATACTAAATTATAAGGCAAAAATGAACATGTATTTGATTTTACTTTTTATAATACACGATAAACCAGTTACCTACCACAGTATACTATTACGAAAAACAAAACTGTTAATGTCGATGATAACATCTGAAAATAAAAGGAAATATGACAGAATTAAGAAAATGTGTTTATTCCTGGAACCAAAAGTAATTCCTATAAACTTGGGAATGCTCCTGTTTATCCTGTTGTTTTTAATTTATTTAACGGATTCGTGACAAAGACAGTCATCTGCAGCCTTGAATACGTGATACATATCAGAAAACGTAATTTTTTCTGACTTTGTTTGTAGTTCGTAGGACAAACGGTAAAGATTCTTTCGTCCAGTCCTTTCAATTATTATTCTTTTTTATTTTCTGAAAAATGTGTTGAACTTTCGTCCTAACTTAATGGGATTTGTCATTTTTTTCACATTGAAACATTGTGTCCAACAAAAATGTGCACTTTTTTGCATTTGTCGTATGGTCCTTTTCAGATGTATGAATGGTCTGTTTATGTCTGTAAGAACATAAACATACGCCTTGATAAATAAATAAATAAATAAGATAACAGTTTCTGGCGCAAACCAAGAGAAATATTTATATTCAAGTGCGCATGCGTGAGGTGGATTTTCCGGGAAGTTTGTAAAAACGGAGGCCCGGCATGCAAATTATGTCAAAATGAAATATGAGAAATTAGTTGTTATAATGAGATGATGAATGGAATGATATAGGAATGATATGGGATAATGAATTGTATATCGGACTGTAAACAGACAAATACAAGAGATATATATACAAATACAAGGACAAAATGATACATAAAAACGATATTCAAAAACACGCATATCGACCACATGACACATTCTTGAATATTTGTTTCATTCGACACGTAAATTATATGTCGAGAAATTAGATAAAAACATGAAATTATTTTCTGTTAAGACATATAAATTCATGATCATTGAGTCCAGCACTTTTAAGTGTTGAGCCATGTAATTTTGATGTTTTTTATGCTTCCGAGGGATAACCTTGTACTCAAGCCATTTTAATACTCTCATAATTCTATCCTAAATTGGCAATAAACATTTATATCCTAATTTAAGTATTAATTTGATTTTTATTTCTTATACAAACCAATGCTTTAAGTTTACATAACAGAGAAGAAAATACTATTTACAAACATTAAAACAATTGAACTGTGGAAACAGAACATTTATAATATATTTCAACATATAAATATATTATAAATGCGTATGTAAAAACTGAAAACACACTTACATAAATCCTTTTATATGATAAGTTATCAAAACAAAACTAAAAAATAGATATGAAAAATAAAGGGACGTCAAGGACTTTAAAGATTGACTCAGTACCATATTTAGAATTAATGTGTTAGATGTTGAAAATCTTATTGAAGGTCATTCTGAATATATGTAATAAAATATAATGCATCAGTGATATATTTACGGGCCTAAACAGTTAATATAATTGTTAATCGAAAATATAATAAAAATAAAAACTTACATTTTAGGTTTAACGTTCATGTTATTCAATAAATAAATAAATAATGGTGTTACCGTAAATAATAATAATAATACACTCACTATTTACAAAAGAGTGAAGTAAGAAACTTTATGTATGGCTTCTTTATTGTTTATATACATTGAAGGCGACTTATGTGTTATCTTTGCCTATACATTAAACAACATTATATAGACTTGCTTACATTGTATCGTTTCTTCATCGAGTTAAGATGTCAAGTTTTTGACCAATACGAGGAAGATAAGTAAATAAAACAAAACAAAATATTAAAGAACTAGCATGAACTTTACACTTTGTATTATTTGTTGAAGTATTGATTTAATCATAAACAAAAAAAAATATATCCGGCATATTAAAGTAAATCAAAATTATTTAATCTCTCGATACCATAATTCAAGTTAACAAAGTAATAAGACTGTTAAATGTTTATTTGTGTCGAATTATAGTTTCTTTTGAAACTAACGAAGACAAATGTCATATCAGGAAATACGGTCCTAGCCAAACGTTAGGCTTTAATCCACCATTTTGGAACGAATAGCAAACAAAAGGAAAAAGTGTCAACGTAAAGCGGTTTATAAAATTCACCTGACATTCAATTCATTGTTATTGAAGAAGTGTGGAAGTAAAATAAATTGAAATGAATGATACTACATAAAACAGAATATTTAGGAAATTGTCTAAAAATATTATTAAAAAATTCTTATTATTCTTGTGAATGTTAAAGTGAAATTTTACTTGAAGAGAACAATGTAGTCTAATATTATTGACGATGAATTTACAGTATGGCATGAATATCTTTACATATCATTTTCCAATTTTTATAATTTGCTTGATGTTGATTTTGGATATGTGTATAGTTTAATTAATGTCAAGTAATTGTTGATTACTTGCAGTTATGTTGTATGTTAATATATTGTTTAAAAGAACTGTAAAATGTTTTAAGTTATCACGGTTTTAAATAAGAAGAAAACATTAAACAATATCAACGGGAAATTTAACCGCATTAGGAAGACAGGAAGTGAGTGTTACACAAATAATGAACTCTTTATTGTACTTTGTAAAAGGACATTTCACTTGATGGTGTCATTTAATGTGTTACCTTCATAGATAATGTCATTTGCACTAATTTATTTATTTATTTTGCAAAATGATACAGTTGTTGATTTACATCATAGTATTTTTACAAGCATTGAAATACATTATTTTGTAAAATTTACGAATCTGTTATTATAGGTAGACAAAAATGTAAAAAAAGATGTTAATTAAAAGGTATAGATTGCTATTATATGCAACAAATTTGAAACAGAAGGAGACATAAAACTGTAATTATAATTATCTTAAATGCAAATGCATATGGCTAATTATTACCTAGAGCTAAGATATCAGATATCAAGTTCAGTAGTGTAGAACAGATCATCGAGTTAAAGACAAGCAGATTAATGAAAGGTAAACTCTCAGTTAAACAGCCCGTTCTACAATGTGCGCGTATACTCTGCTGTATGACGCCAAAATAAGACCATCACGTTGATAGTATAAGGATCTTACACCGGCTACCGGAACATACCGTAATATCTAGCTCGAGGGAAAGTGATTACGGCGTGAACGAGAACTCGATATTCCCGTCCGTGACGATGGCCGCTGTTTGATTTCTTTCTTGCATACTAAACATTAATCGTATTTCGGAAAAAAAATACAAAAACCAATAGATTCAAGTAATACTTTTTTCCTGTAGTAGGGTATGAATTTGTAACTTCATTTACAACGGTAAAATGACGTCATCTTAAGGATGCAATCCATTCATAATGGCATCGATCTGGGGTGTTATACAGGTTTTTCTAGCACCAGTGTAAATAGTAGATATTCCTGTTTGATATGCAAGATATATCAAACAAAACCATTGAAACTCCTGAAAGGATGCCATGTCGAAGCTTTTTCTTTAGTACATAGATTAGAAATACAACATACTACGAGAAGCATCAACATCAATTGAATTGTGCTTATGTCATTTATTACATTTATAAATGACGATTTCACAAAATTGTCATTATATATAACTGACCGGGTAAAACGATGAAATAACATGTTTTTTACACAATGATTAAATAATCTAATTATTTAAGCTTAACCCAGCCAATATACCCTATATACAACATGTACAAGAGAAGATGGTGCATTCAAAAGCAAATTCAAAAAATGTAGAAAGTGTTAGATGCAAAAACATTAACAACATAATGAAATAAATTCTAACATCAACTATGATCAGTTGAAAAAGAGACACGGGAAATAATAAGTAGCCAATGGTTGATAGAAATAGAAAAAATATCTTTGTAAACCATAATTCAAGTTGATCAAGCATTGTTCAATGTTTATACCTTTCTGAACCGCAATTAAGTTCGTTTTGAAACTAACGAAGACAATTTTAATTCGAGGAAATACGATCCTGATCAACTAAAAATTGGGCGCAAACCCACCATTTCGGAATAAATAGCAAAATCAGTGTCCACATAGAGAAGTTTTTAATATTGATTTGTTTTCCAGTTCATCAATTCATTGTTATGGAAGAAATTCTTGGATCAAAGCATTTCATTGAATCAGCGGCAAATTGATGTGAATGAAACTACACAATACATTGTACGTATTTCGTAAATAGCGAAAGGTATTCGTTTTTCCGTTACTTCATATGGCCTTCTTTACAGCAATAAAAGGCCCAATACCCGTACCCAAGCAATATGTCAGGGAGGTTATTTCGTGTCATGGACTTTTTTCCGATCGTCGTTTTGTTGTTTTCTGTATATAATGTGTATACAAATTTATAAAAAATAGAACACAATTTTCTCCACCGACCGTTTAAACACCGTTTGTTTTCTCCCGTTGTGGATACTTGCTTCCATATAATAGGACGGGTTTCATTAGAGCAATATAAGGCCCAAAGCCCTATCCGAAGCAAAATGTCCGGGAAATTTACGCATGGTATGGTCGGTTTTTGTTTTTGTATGTTTTGGCCTGGCGATGTGTTCTTTCTGTATATAAAGTGTGAAAACCATTATTTTTCTAGTGACAAATGTTAAAGCACTATTTGTCTGATTTCGTTGCGAATTCTTCTTTCCATTATATTGTATGGCCGTCAGTACAACAATAAATGGCACAAAGACCTAAACTTAAGGGAAATGTGCAGGAGATTTCCGCTTGGCATGGTCTTTTGTTAGATTGCGAATAGCTGTTTCTGTATATATAGTTGTATATGATAGATTGCTTAATTAAAAAATACTTTCGGCTATATACGTAATAGATTATAATTCTATGTAAAGTGAAAGTAGAATGCTTGCAATCTGTAAAATATCAAAACTTTTGTCTGACATTGAATTTAGTTTATGTATGAGTTTTGTTTATTCGCTTTCTTTCTTTCCAAAATAGACGAAATAGACGAAAAAACGTTTGTTCATTTGAGTTATGAAAATATTCTTGCATATTTCAATAAAACTGATAGCTGAAAGAATATCAAATAAAATTGTGTGCAATTAAAAAAATCAAATTTTCAATACAATTAGCAATACGAGTACGGAACAATAATTATAAGGACAAATATAATTAACGGTGAATAATAAAGAACCAAACATGTACAAGGGTTAAATGTCTGGCTTTACGCTGAAAAAAAAAACTTGTATACGTTATTAAACGTAGTGCATATTATGAACAAGGAAATGTCACCTTACATATTGATAAAAATACGTGATGCGTGTAACGTATTGAATTGTATACATTACGAAAACAGAAATTCACGTAACCTCAAAATAAACATTTCGCAAAAATAGTTAGCATTTGAAAAAAAAATGAGTGATACTCATGTCGAAATGAAAAATGTAATAGTACGCTGATACAATTTTGTCCAATGCAAAACAGTTCTCCTTTAAATAGATGGGAGAGCGGTGGCCTAGTCGTAAAGGTGTCTGCCTATCAACCCAGAGATAATGGACCCTACTCTCACGACCATGTTTTTCTTCATATGACATAAGTACTGGTTTGTTCCAGGAAGTGGACTCGAAAGTGATTAATATGTGTCACAAGAACTTGTTTCGCAATCGAGCTAAAATAAATATGTATAAACTAACACATAGATGGGCAACGTGTTTAAGCCGAATTCATTTTCTGTGTTATTAAGACTGGATCCATATTTTGAAGTCTGAAACGGCTTCATCATCGTAGGATATCATCAAGATGAGCATTCCATTAATTGTTTAAGATAATATTTTCCATCGGATGGAATAAAATAAAATTAACCAATGTTTTTTCAATAAATTGAAAAAGAAAATGGGTACCAAAATGTTTAACATATGCATTTGAATGTTTTTATTTAATTTGTAATTATCTTTAAGTTAATACTTGCAAAATTAATTGTATCAATCGGCAGAAAACCATGCAACATTTTCAAAGTCATAAAGGTTCGACTGCTTTAAAGCCGAATAACATAAGATGGCAGCAAAGGCGTTCCATTCGTATTTTCTTCAGTTCTATCATGATTAAAAAACAGCACAATAATAGGTCGAAATCTATGTCATTGACAATCGTCCTTGTATATGACGTAGTAGTATGTGATGTCTTATCTGTTTGAACAGTAGCGACTATGAGTAAGTTATATACATATGTTGACGATATTAGTAAATAGAAATCATGGTTAAAATAGAAGACCTTTTTAAATATTGTGCAATAGTTCTAAATGTCCTTTATGATCGCTTTTATCTGTAAATACTGACCATATACTAAGCCTGAAACTCGTTAACATTAAACAAATTTTAAGAAAACTACTTATTATCGACCTTAGGTAATAACACGAGGCTATCTGATTTGTACAAGGGGCGTAGGAACCAATGAACGAGCATCTGAATATGATATTTCTGTCGCTTTCCCTTTCTCCGCCGTCACAATTAATGGGCATGCTCTAAAGTGCGGGTAACTGATACCTGCACTCTAGTTAACGCTCTGTGCATGTATATATAGAGGCTATTCGTTGCCAAAAATCCAGCCTTTGAAACTTGACAATGCATACTTCGGTTCTACTAAACAGATTAGTAAAAATCTAATTGTCGATCCGAGAGTTACATACTGCACTGGTATTAAGCATTTTGATTATCTCGATTTGATAAAATGAAAGCTGTTAACATGCAACTTAGATAAATTGCAAACTGTTTTTATAAATGTATAACTTCAAATTTGCGACATGTAGAAATGTAAACGATAAAACGTACACAATACGTTTAATGCTGTGTATCATGACGTTGAGAATGTAACTGCATCAACTTGACACACTCAGGTTTACAACACCACACTTTCCTTTTACATTCTAACGCGATTAACATTTGTAAACGATTTTGCAACTTCCATATATGGAATTATCACGGAAATAGACGAAAATTAATAGGCGGAGCCAATTTCACGAAAGCAGAATATAAAGAGAGGTAACTCTTGCGGGTACAAAACTATTTCAAATTATATAGAAACTGTTACATCACTCTTGACTTTGAACATCCTCTGATTTTGTTTAAACGTATTCTAGTACAGGATATTCAAGTAATGCAAAATTGTTTAATATATAATGTAAAAATGTAACAACGTATATACTGATAATGAGCATAATAATATGCAAAAACTAAAGTTGGTGAAATAACATAAGGAAATGTTTCCCATATATAATGACACACACCACTATTCATTGATATCAATGTTAGGGTTTTGTGAGCCACAGCTATACTCTTAGGCATACTTTTTTTTTACCTTCAGCACATAGTACTAGAATGCGATACATGGAAGGCACTTTTGGCAACACCAATAAAGAGAACTGAACAATAAGCTTGTGCCTTCTTTCTTTAAAGGACTATGTTGGGTTGTAGAAAAACTCATATATTTGACCAAGTGTATAACCATGAAACAATCGATAATTCCGTTGTATAACCAAAACCATTTTAATGTTGAAATAAATATTCAGTGTATCCTTGCAACTCTGTTTACCTCCATTGGGAGGTATTTTGAGTCATAGGATGTGATTTAGCCTTTTATTGTTAAATATATGTAAGCTGGCGTAGGTTAAGGTCTTTTTATGCATTGTGCTGAATCAATAGCACCTCTAAAATATGTGTATACATTCTGTCATTAGCTGTTACCTAGATTTGCTGTCTAAATTTGTTGTCTATATGATCAAAAACAGAGAACTACTTTTATGTACATGAAATACTACACAGAATACTTATTAAGTTTTGTAAGTAATGGCTTTATAAGAGATAAAATAAACAAGGTATACATAAATTGATAATCAACATACATACATTTGGACTCATTTAAATTTTACTTATTGAAAAACAAAATGGGAAAAATGGGAAAATATATGGTAAAAATAAAAAGTTATGTACGAAAGGGTACATACAACTTTGGTTATAATTTTACTATTGTTAAAAGGTTTTTTTCTTGTCAAGTCATACGCTAGAATTAAGGTTACTAAATTAATATAATAGTACTACTAGGAAAGACAACAGCCAGAATTTGGTCTGTATTAGTAATAAGTCGTATCAAAATCTCTATCAGAATGATGTTGACTTGAAAATTTGAAAGTGGTAAGGTAGCAGCTTAACTGTAAATGTTACTCATTCCTATGCAAATTGGAATACCATCAGTGAAATTTATTTGTCGTTGAATATAGTCTTTTCAATAGTTTTCACTTCCTTGAAAAATATTTAACCTCAGACAGTATGTAACCTGGTGATTTTCGGGGTTTTTTTTAAGTTTCTTTTTCCAGGAAATGTGGTGTCTACAACGTTTTAAAACTTATATGCCTATATTCCTTTAAAGTCCGCTGATGTTGATTGTAGGCAATCATGCAAGTGAATTGTGTTTAGTAACTAAACACCTAAAAGGTATGATAAACGGAAACTACGCCGTTCTTGTCGCCGACGGTAAATACCGAAAATGAGCGGAAAATACGTTTATTTACGATGATTAAGTGGGCGGGAAAATGGGCGGAGCTTATTTTATCTCCTATTGAAAAACGCGTAAAGCTGGATTATGCTGATCTGAATCATGATGGTTCGACAATGTAAAGCTAAGAATGTAACTTCTGTTTTGAGTATTTGAACACTTGGTATTGCTACTATCAGTTAATGTTTTGTCGTTTAACAAATTGTATTTTGTTGAAATGCATGTTTACAATGTTAAATCGGCAAATTCAATCCAAGTATGCAACATTGGAGTTTACATATAAAGAAATACAATTGTATTTTTTCCATTAACAAACTGTTCAACTCAGATCAACAAGGCTGGATTTTTGGCAACGAATAGCCTCCATATGTATATGTATACGATTTAACTCGGACACATTTTCAACAGAAAGGTCTCCAAACTATGCTACAATATATACATAATGTACTCGATGCCATACCTTATCTTACATGTATTATATGATAAGAGCTGGAAAGGTCATAACCTACGTCATTGGCAGCCATTGTTATCTGCGCCTAAAGACTTAAACTTGTTGCCTCTGAAAGGAAGTGCAAGATGAAAAAGAAAAAAATGAGTAAGTGAGTTACATATATTATAGAAGAAATTTAATATAAATTATATTCGGAATATATCAAAGAAGTAATTGAACATAATCATATTCTGAATTAATCATAGAAGTAAATGAATTTAAATTACTACTATGACGTCATTCCTTTGTTCTGACCGTACTGTAGTTTGAATACAGTACAGGTAGGTGTCCAATATTAATGTATAAGTCCAATATTAATCGTGTAACACATTAATATCAGACAGCGTATCGTGTAGTGAAAAAGCTTGTATGACCACAGGACTTTGTGGACAATTATCAAAAAAAAAAAAAAAAAATAAATAAATAAATAAAATGAAATAAATAAGTAAATAAAAGATTAAGTAAAAAATGTAACCTCTTACATCAGAAGTTTAAAGTTTAAACAAGGTATGCAACGTCTTTTTTTCGCCCTTTACGCATTTTTACAGAATTATACGACAAAACAATCATTGTTATCTGGCGATGATTTCTTAGCTCATTTCTCGAATTCTATATTCAAGCCTACTGATTTTCGATTTCCAAGCCCTTAAAATCATATCACTGTTTACGCTTCCCTAGTAAAAGGTAGCAGACCGTCAGTTAGGATATGATTTTAATTTGATTGTTTAATTTCTTGCCTTCTGTCCGTTGTTCTTTTTTAAATACATTTAGTTGAAACATACTTGATTTGCTTCATTGTATGTACGCTATGTTTCAGTTCAACTTTTCAGTCAGCTTTTCAAATAAATGTAATAGAGAAATTCAAAATAAAGGCGCTTATATTTGACTACCTATGCATTTGACTGATATATAGAAACCACTTCAGACTCCTGTGGTATGACAACTATCAATTCAAAAATAATAAACTATCATTTTGTTGCATAAATATCCAAAACTCACAATAATATTCATTTTACATCCGTGATAGTTAAAGTAAAGTAAACAAATATCATTTTTAAACTAAATGGTCAGTATAAACCTTTCCTTTAAATCATAAATCGTCTCAGTCAATCATTCAAAATATCCGAGATTTAACACAAATTTGAAAACTTTTTATTGTTCCTTTTTCGTAAAAATCACCAGTGTAAATTGATGTATACTGTATGCGTGTAGGTCCACAATTTTGTGTAACTGGTAGAATTTGTGTATATATCAATGTGTTCATGTACATTATTGGTCATATTTCAAAACACGGAACTTTCATTACGGACATTTTGTTATTCAAGAGGCTACCAACAGGGTTTTGCAAGTAAGAAAAAATAATTGCTAAAACATTAAGATGGTACATTTAAAGCACAAATATACATTATTTCTATTTTTTTCGATGGATAATATGATATTTGACAGTAAAAGTAGTACTTCAAGTAAGATATAAGCCTCAAACTGACCAATAAGTAAAATATTGAATTCCCTTCGGCGCTACGAGCCTCGTGAAATAAAAAAGTTTACATATTGGACAGTTTTCGGCTTATATCTACTACATAACATAGAGTGAAATAAGAATCCCTAAAGAAAGCCCAACGCGACACAAAATGATGCTGGCCCGGTTTGATTGAGCCTGTACATGGACGGTACTGTCAAGTGCAAATTACCGTCCACGCCCCCTGGCACCGGCTTAAGCAGAATTCAACATTTAACATGAACTGGCAAAATTTAGAATTTTGAAACATCCGCAGATGTGTTCCTATGGCGGTTATCCTGGAACCTTCAATGAGACACGTTAGCGCCATTCCATGAAAAGCAGCATAAGGTCCCCAAGAAAAAAAATAGACCCTATTCTGAATATATTATTGAATAATTACAATAATGTCCTCTATTTTGTTACCTGTTTTCTTGTCGTTAAAGAAGGGTATATTTTCATAAAACGTAAATATTTTATTAAATAAATTAAAGTCTCCGTCTTGATAAATAGATAAATAAAGAATCCCTAAAGAAAGCCCAACACGGCAAAATTGAAAATGTTGCAGGCCTGGTTTCATTGAGCCTGTTCATGGACGGTACTGGAAAGTGCAAGTTACCGTCCACGCCCCCTAGCACCGGCTTAAGCAGAATTCAACATTTAAACATGAAATGGTAGAATTTTGAATTTAGAAACATCCGCAGATGTGTTCATACGGCGGTTATCATGGAACCTTCAATGTGACACTTCCGTGCCATTCCATGAAAAGCGGCGTATGGTCCCCAAGTAATAAAAAGCGTGTGCCCTAAACGAGAAAACAATGGGCGGAACTAAATAAAATTGAATTTTGAAAGGGGATCAGAGGTTATGAAGCCTGCGTATCACAGATAAGACGTCAAAAGACAAATTTAAAAAGCAGGCAACATATCCTAAGGGTGATTCAACATTATTCAAGTAGGAATATTGGAACCACCCAACTAGAAAATGCCAAAAATCTGAAACTTAAAATACCACAAGCACAACAATAATGTCGTGCTGAACGATCTTCAAGGATCGAAAATATAACATCATTGATTAAATGTACGGGGCGACTTTTTACAGCCGCCACACGGCACAAATAACACGGATGTGATCATATAAATAGATAAATAAATAATCCCTAAAGAAAGCCCAACACGGCAAAATTGAAAATGTTGCAGGCTCGGTTTCATTGAGCCTGTTCATGGACGGTACTGGAAAGTGCAAGTTACCGTCCACGCCCCCTAGCACCGGCTTAAGCAGAATTCGACATTTAAACATGAAATGGTAGAATTTTGAATTTAGAAACATCCGCAGATGTGTTCATACGGCGGTTATCATGGAACCTTCAATGTGACACTTCCGTGCCATTCCATGAAAAGCGGCGTATGGTCCCCAAGTAATAAAAAGCGTGTGCCCTAAACGAGAAAACAATGGGCGGAACTAAATAAAATTGAATTTTGAAAGGGGATCAGAGGATCAGAAGACTGCTCATGAGAGAAAAAGCAACATTTGACATAACTGATAACTTTGTTAATAAAGCATTTATCATTTTTTCTTATTATATAGAAAGTTCAACATAAATAACAAGTCGTATTTTATCTTTAACATATATTTACGCGTTTCATTAAATACGTGTAGTAGTTCCATTATAATACACTGAAATCTTATAAACACCATAACGCCATATTGCGGCACAAAATCTAATGTAAATAATACAATTATTGTAAAAATGTATACAAAACGTTATGATATGTATTGCGTATTTTTTCAGATGACGCACTATCTATATTGATTTTGATAGCCTCTGTCGCTTCTTCAGGTTTGTAACTGTTTCTTGTGCTTGTTTATTTATAAATTGTTTTTCCAACAAAGATACTGTACATGTTTCCTTCTCCTTTGATCGTTTATTAATTCGTTTAATATAAGACTTTATGTTGTTATAAGAAAATATCATTTACTTCGTTATTATGTAGATTTAATTGGTGTTAATACCTTAATATATATTTGTATTTATATTATTTATATATACTTTCAGAATCACTTGATTGTCACAGCTGTTCAAACGTTATCAATACAGATGGGTGCAATGGCACAATGTCGTGTCCAGTAGGTCAGGTTAGGAGGAATATGAAAGTTTTTTTTCTTTACAATAACAATAATTGTCTATGGCTAAAAGTTTGCAGCTTTTAAAAATATCGTATCCTGTGGCATTGTTCAATGCGATATTTTGTATCATTATTTGCCTTACAACTTTCCCGTGTTGCGATTTGTATAGAGGCAGTCACATGACAGCCAAAATAAATTGTCATTGACCTCGACTCGAGGTGGATTAAAACTATGTCAACCAATCGTTAGTGGCTAAATTAAAGTTTAACTGTGCATTCTGCTGAACATTTACACGTTTAACAAGTGATTCAAATGCCGAAAACAGGAAAACAACTTCTGTGCTTTTGGACCACTTAATTATCATTAACGGAATGTTATTATGTAAAAAGAAGCGGACACTATAGAGAATTTATTAATTAAAAAAAATATTTTAGTCATGCAATAAAATAGTTCAAATATAATATTAAGTTATTTAACAATTTAAACTAATAGGAAACTACATTTTACTGTCCTCGTCATACGTAACACAGTTGCTTACTTTGTATCGTAATATTCATAAAAATTAACCGTCTGTTGAGAGCAATTCTTTGTTAGTTTTGTTAGCTTAACGTTCACATTTTAAGGTAATACTCTGCTTTGAGTTCATGGACCAGGTTATTATATAGTGTTTCTTTTTATTCTAAAAGCAAACAATACATGATGTTTATTTTAAGTGCAAGTAAACATTCTACCTTTTTACGGAAACCATTTATAAGATAATGTTTTGCTTTAGGTAAATATTGGATACTTTCAAAGTTGTCTAGCATTGCTATGTCTTAATTAATATACATGAATATAGATTACAAATTACATTAATTTTCTAGTCATGCTACCGCAATGTATCACTAGGAGAGCAAAACCTCGGGTGCGTTGACAATCAGGTAAATGTTTCTTTTTAAGCAAAGAGTTACGAAACGATCATAAAATTCTTCTAAAAGAAGTTCTATTCTATGCTTTTCTATGCACTGTACAGGCGTTTGGCAATACAATAAACCACAAAATTTGTCACGATTTGGGAATAATAGAATCTATCATTTGGGTTGGATAGAGGATAGGGAAATCCCAACCCGAGGGTGATCGGTTCTATCGGGAACGAGCCTTGGCGAGTTCCCGATAGAACCGATTGGCCGATGGTTGGGATTTCCTATCCTCTATCTAACTCAATGATTGACGATTTTTCTCACTCACCTGGACACAATAAATATCAGTGAAACTAGATCTACTTGCTACGCCCTAGTTTTGAAAAGCGGGGCGGGGCTTAGGCGCCTGACGTACGTCCGCAAAAATTCTACTGAACAAGTTAATGTGTGAAAAATTCAATGACAATAAATTCATGTGAGATCCTTTATAAAAAAGCAAGGTTTTCGTGATAAAACACATCAATATTAAAGTCGGAAAGTGTCAACTATAAGTGTTTATAAGGAATTCAGCCCATAACCTAAATGGCTGCCAAAAAGCGTTTACCGTTTGCAAAGTTTTTCCTACTTATTCGGTTATTTTTGCCGAATATTCAATTAAAATATATCAAAATGAGATTCGTCATTATGAAGCATCGTTATCGTAACAGAAAACATGGATGGTCTTCAGGAAGAGTGTCATAATATCCATTTTACGAAGAATTTTGCGATATTTTAAAGTGTGCTATTTTTAGTAACATATCGATATTGAAAAGGGCGGACCTAGGTAGAGTAGGACTCATTGCAGTGTGAAAGTTAATATCAATTTATTTCGAGTCCGTGGACAGTAAAATAGATTGGTTCACATATTTTAATACATTTTGACCTTTTGACGTTTCATTTTTGGTAAAATAGAAGTGAACCGCGTATGTGTAGGAATACGTTTTTAGAAGTGCTGCACGTTGAGTGTGAGATAAGCCCATGTGAGATAAGATTTTCCAACACCGATATTTTTAGTAACTTTAACGGATTTTTCTATCTGGTTAGTGAGAAAGCCCTCGTATAACTGATTGTGTCCTTTGACCATTATTTGCTTAGAAAGCTAAACATTGATTTTTAATGTTTCTCCTCTATTTTATGTTTAAAGAGCCACCGGAAAAAATAAATAAGCAAGTTATTCAAGATAAATGCTTTGTTTGAGTCCATTTAACCACTAAATTATATTTTGCAAAGAATGAATTGAACTCTTAAATAATTCTTGTTTGCGTTTGAAAAATTTGATAGAGATGTGATTCACACGCTGCAGTTTCTACAATAGTTGGACGAAGTGTTGTTTCTAGGAAAGCATCAACGTGTTTCGAATGCTGTTCCACGGATCGTTGTAACATCGCACTTTGTCAGCATCAAGAAAGTAAGAATAAGGGGCATTTATATAAAGGTCATTTTGTTATTCTTGTTCTTGTATTCAAAACTTACTCGTTAGCTGAAGCTTCTGTCTGGAATCCACAATGTTATTCCCTTTGGATAATTATCAGGTATCATTATCTTATTCAATACTTTAGTGTAAGGTAGAGATATGTACTTATTACAGTCAGATGACTTATTTTGCATTAAGCCAAATCCCAAAGCTTAAATTATACTAGAAGCAACATTTCAAAATCCTTTGTTTCTCTTTTGATTTCTGTAAATGTGTACACAATGCTTTGTTTTGTTTCACATTTTGATGTCACTTTCTCTTTTAGAAATCAAGTTGTAGGTAAGCAATATATGATGGACGGCCTAGCACCTTACTGAAATGGTTTTGTCATAAATTTGTAATATGAAATTAGGCAAAGCCTTTGAACGGGGAAGTCGTAAAAAATCCTTTCAATTTTTCAGTTTTAAAGGTGTCATTCGGTATTATATGTACCCGTTTCACTCGGAACACTCGACGATTATTAATAATCCGAAATTGAGATTTGTTCCGTTATCGGAATACACCGCCTATTATCATTGAATTACATTGTAAATGGCGGCGCCTAACTAGAACTGATACTGAAAATTTCATTGATAGGTAAAGAATTCTATATTTTTTTAAATTGTTTTTATTTGAATTTTCTTTTAAATATACACGTGTAGTCTATAGCCGGGCAAGCCAAAGCCCGGGCCCGCTTGACTTCCCCGTATTATTATAACCATGAACCCAAAAGAGTTATTATATTTCCTCAATCATGTGCCTGTCTATTAATCCGTCAGGTCAGTCAATGATTAGTAATTCGGTGTCGTCACTGTTTTTATTGAAAAATTACTTTGACATGGTAAGGTAAGAATTGAAGCATAGAAGCTGCTAATCTGTCTGTGATTAAGAATTATTTTAATTACATCAGTAATCATTTTGTACATGTAGTCAAATGTAATTAAAATCAATTAAATCCTATTCTGTACCCCTTTTTGGCTGAGGGGCTGTCAATAAGTATTAAGGCATCAAGTTTGCAGCTTACTTTTATCCCTATGTGATCGATCAACTAAATGAGTTAAATTAACTAAAATCATTTCATCATAAGTTCCAGCAGATGAGGTGAATTTGAGTTAGTTTTCGTCCAAAACGACAAAATTTTGTAAAATTTGACCTGGGTTGCGTGTCATGTACTCCTACGTCTAAAATGTATGTAAAAAACAACATTTTCAAAGAAGATGTCGTTACTTTCCTATTTTAAGACCGTAAAATTTTCTAATAGCGATGCAGATTAACATAAAACATTAACATTGTAGATAGAAGGGCGTGTAGTTGTATTTTGTAACTTTTTTCGGGAGAACAAATTTAATAAAAGTCTTAAACTATTACTGAAGATGGAGAAATATTTCTTGAACGGTCTTTAGTGAGTTTTATAGTGATCATAAGTCCTAGGATTAAGGATATACTTAGGTTTTATACCAAACGCATTCCTGGATTGTGTTGGTGCGCCGTAAAACCAAACCATGAACCGGCTTCTTAACTTGTCAAAACATTTTCTTTTGCATTCTCGGCTGAACTGCCCTTTCTTGTTGAACTCTTGAAGTATATATTTTAACATAAATTTCAAATTTAACTTTTTACCTAGTAAACAATATATTTATCATTGATAAACGATACAATTTAACATGAACATTACAAATGTGTTATCATTTATGAAACAATTTTGAAAAAAGAAGATATATATACATGTAACTCAATTTGGGTATCATTTAGTTTTATTTTTTCTGTCACTAGACGATTTTTCATAGTTTGATAATTGACATCTCTCTTGCAATATTGAGTTAAAGTATAAAGTGAATGCAAATTTGTGAATTTACATACATTTCCTTCGAATACTTTAAGCGAAAATGTTTAATTCAAGCATATAATATATTTCACGTATCTATTAAGGATACATATTTGTTTCAGACAAAGTATGCATGGATGACGAATCAGTCGATTGTGCAAGATTGAATTCAATATTTAGTATTTGTAAGGACGTTGCACACGCAAGAAGCGTTTGTGCAAAATTCTGTGGACTCTGTATTGGTGTGTTGAATTTCTACTCTAATAAACATTTGGCATCTCATATGAATATTTTTGCAATAAGTTTTAGATTTTAGCAATGAAATATTAATTTGTTCTATTATGAATTGCGAACATGCTTGATTGGCATGTATACCTCTTATTGATGAATAAAAGTTTCAAAGATTTTAGATGGTATTTATGCATTGTAATGTTTATTTGTTGAAATATGACCTTAAAGAACAGTTCTGTTTTTGTTTATTTCAATGATCAGTTGACGGAAACTGGACTTTATGGTCGACTTGGACAGCATGCGATGTAACCTGTGGAAATGGACACCAATTTCGATCTCGGTCCTGTACCAATCCTTCACCAGAAAATGGTGGTCTTGCATGTGTAGGTGACATGATCATGGCAAAGGTTTGCAAAACAGACCAATCATGTCCAAGTAAGTACAAAAGCATTAACCTGTGATTCAAGTTAACACCTCAATTTATTCATTGATACTTACAACAGACGCATTAACTGTAAGACAACGCCGTTATTTACGCAAAAGTTTTAAAAGCACCGAAATTTATATTTTTATTTTTATGCATAAGTGATCCACAATTACTATCAGCCCGCTATTCCTCTAGTAACAGTCCACATACTCAGACTTATTTATAACTCCAAAATAAAGACTTCTAAGCAGAATACATAATGACCATAATTCTGCTGCAGTTATCTGGTTGATTGGTCGAAGACATGTCGCTAAATACAAGAATTATCTTTAAAACGATATATGGCGGGATAAATCTTCTCTACTTGCAAAAGTTATTTTGGATTTTGTACTCATGACGATATGTTAGGTTATGTTATAATGATAGTAATGTGTTGTGCAATTCTCAGTTATGCAATGCTCTCAGTAGGTAAAGTCGAACAAACTGTACTACGAGTTGATTTATTGTTCTATTTAAGCTATTTAATGTATAGAGTAGACAATATCTATCTCTTCTCTAAGAACTATACATTGGATTGAGAAGTTTTTTAATCACACGAGCCAATTAATCTGCGACAGATGAGTTTATCATGGATCAAAGTTTCTCAATGGTGATCCACTTTTGTTATAGTTTCATATAACGTTATTTTTACTTTGAAAGTGATATATATATAATTTTTAAGACTGATAATTATCAAAAGAAGTTTTAATTTGTAATTTAACCCATACTGATGTACCTGCAATACGGTTTATACGAGGGGTTATCAACAAATTCATGGGCTTTTTAAATATCTCTTGAACGTCAACGTGTATTGTTATGAAATATTATAAGCATACATTGTAGAATATTATCAACTCATTTTGAAAGAAACAGTTAACTGCGTCAATAAATAATTATTTTATATTGCTTTTAAATATGCACATTCACGGCATCCGGCGCGCTGTCGAAAACCGCAGTTAATCATCATATTTTTTTTGCTAAAAAACTAATAATAAACGAAGAAAACCCGCTTAACATCGCATGTTTCTTCTATGAAGTCGTTTAAGTAATTCATTTAAATTATAGAGGACATTTCCGTTTATTTTTGTTGATATCGCTGAAACGCAAGACGCCGATATTTTTTACAACGGGAAAATGACGGACACGAAGAAATAAAAAAATCGCGCCATCATAAAATTTTGTTGTAATTTCGAAATGACACCTATAAAAACATTAAAGAAAATCAGAAGTCGAACAGTGAAAACAAATATTTTACTATAATAAGTTTTAATAAGAAGCAAAAGAAATTCAGTGATGGACATCACTTTGAAAAGAAGTAACGGTCATTGACTGCGTAACGTTGAAGCATAAGTTGTACGTTATCATGACGTTGACGTCAATAACTTTTTGGGGTGCGCTGCTGTCGCCGATATGTGTTAATGTAAAACTAAATATTGTTGTCATATAAGAAGCTACTAACTTGAATGTTTCTGTGTTTATTTGTTATTTATTCTTCTAAGCAGTGTAAGAACTCAAATGTATTTTACGCAACTAAGAAAGACCACAAATATTTGGATAACCCCTCGTATATACGATACCACTATTAAACACATTATTAAATGTTGAAAACGTCATTGCGTGCCAAAAAGAATCATGTTCATAAATAAATAATTTTATTCCTTCTCAATGTTTTTCCTTCAAATTTATTTTTTTACACTCATCATGTATATCGATTATTTAGATTATTAAAGTCGGTATAGATCTAATTAAAATTTATTTAGCATTCTTTATAATTTTGAATGCCATACTAAATTATTTGAATTAAATGATGTTTACTCAAATCGAAATGTTAATAGGAAGTTTATAAATAACATTTTTGTCGAAAAGATCACCGACGTAAATACCGACGTAAGAGAAACTTTTTATCAAAAAAATAGAAAAACGAAACTTTAATATCCGAGCATATTTACTAAAAAGTGATCGAACTTGCAAATGATAGTAATAAAACTTAAGTAGAAAGTTTGATTTTGATACTCCTTTAGATGAATTTTAAAAAAAGACTCGTAAACCATTTCAGAAAGATCATATATACGGGTCGCTCAATGAAAAAAATTACAACAAAGTGCACAAAATGACGTCACAAAGAAAGCACTTCTTTTTCTTAAAATCTGACGTCATAATATTTGCGTTTTGAATCGATTTAACGCGTACACAATTCCTACTTGTTACAGTCAGTTTGCATCGTTTCAGTATATCTATGGCGCCGTGAAATCAAACCGGTTTGAAATTTCATCGACATTTTCTAGAAATATGTATTTGTAAAACGTTTTAATCAAACAATTATTTTATAATGTAACAGTTTTATCATTCTTCAATGTATGAATTGCCCGCTTGCTCTCGTCCTATTTTTTGCTGTGAAGCGGTAAATTGTCATTTCTTAAGAATCTATCATGTGGTCAATATTTGGAATAACCTATCTAATAAATAAATAGTAATTTTAGTTAAATATTTGAGTCAACATTATGAAATATAAAAAAATGACATTCACAATTTAGTTATTTAAATGCTAGAAACTTTGCAATATAAATAATAATTGCTAAACAGTTACGCAGTTTGGCAACAAAAACACAAATGTCAGCATCTCATTTATTTTCCATATATCCTTAATCATGTACATTATTTGGAATAATTGTTAGCTAATATTCTAATCAGATAACTTGCAGAGCAATATAAATTTCCAAAAACAGGAATGTAAACGTTGTGGGTACGTTTTTATATCACTGCAGTGATGTTAAGACCTGTCTTCTTAAGCCCCTATTTTAGAATAAACGGAATGGTAAAAGCTTATATTTTTTTGTAATGCTTAGTAAATTTATCAAAACGAACCGTAGCGTCACATTATACACAAAAGGCCACATTACCAGCGTCATTTCGATTATTGTGTTTGAAAAACTAAAAGAGGTCTGACAGAAAAGCAGAAAAGTAAAGAACACATCGATCTAACTGTGAACCCATTGAGGACAAATGCACCACGACTGGCGACGCTCAATAACGCAACACAACTTCATTTGTTTTGATCTATTTATAAAAATTACATGTCACTGGAAAAGACCGAAAAGCCGTAAGCTATAGCAAACTAATTTTAGCGTTTTATAGTATATACATTGGATAAACTATTTTTTTGATAAATAAACTTAAGACTGGCATTCATTTTTCGTCAATGTTTTGAATTTAAGAGGATTTGTTCTGTTTGCATATGATAATCATTTATAAGAATCATAAACTTGCTTAATTAACGGTTTTAAATCAGTAAGTTGTCAAGGAAAAGCAAATTAAAATGATAATTATAATGATAATCAAGGTTAAAAAAGATTATACATTTAAAATAAATACGGTCATAAAAGACTTCTTTCAAGAACAATTCAATGTATTAGTGTCATTTTAAAATCCTGATGAAATCTGGAAACAAAGTCTCGGAAGCATTATTAATAACAAAATAACATGAAAATTGCAGACTCGGTTTGATTGAGTCTGTACATGAGGGATACAGATTAAGTGCAACATCTATCACGCCCCCTGGCACCGGCTTGAGCGGTACTCAATTCTCAACACTTAATAGTGTTGGCATCAATAATCCCGAAGGACCAGAAAAAAATAACAAAACTGAAGTGAAATACAGGGCAACTTTTTACAGGTGCACACATCACTTGACACCTGCTTTTGTGATGTATAAAAATAACGCAACGCAACTTCGTTCGTTTTGGTTTATTTATGTGAGAATTATGCTGTCCGGGCGGAATTACAAGAATTCCAAATGAAATTTATTCCAACATTATCATATATCAACGGGAATTTTACTTTTCCGAGAACCTTTGAAAATAAAATAAAAACAACAATTATTTGCCCTTTGGTGACTTTCTGACAAATTTTGAAGAACTTATTCAAAGTAATAAAAATACGATCTTGAAAGCTTGAAAAAAATCCCGTTGCACTTTTTTTTATAAAAAAACCTCTAAATAAATATAAATTGGTTATTATAAAGGCAAATAATATTTTTTGATGAAAACTAACAAAATAATATGCATTGCATTGTCAATAAAGTGTTTTAAAAAGAAAGGTAAATCAAATTAATTTTTTGTCTAATAATTTTGTTGCAAAAAAAATCCAACTGGATTTGTTTCCAATAAATAGTTATTAGAAAATATGCTTTTATGTACAAGTTTTTTTGTTTAAACGACCGAACAAAAATGTATCATACAGAAATACTGGGGTTTTAATCATAATTGTATTTGTTCACTCATTGATTTTTTTTTCTTCAGTCGAAGTTTTGTAGACCATACAAATTGACAATTTGTGTATTTTCATTGGATGTAACATGTGTTTTTCTTTCTAATGAAATGTGCTTTGGTATAGCCGTTTTGTTCGGTATCTATCAAATGTTTTATTTCAGTCTACATCTGTTCATTGTTTGTGGCAAATTCTTTTCCTATCTTTTGGTAAGTGCTGTTTTATAGCAGTTTTGTTGGGTTGACCGAACAAAATGTCTACTCAGGAATTATTGAACAGGATTTTTATCTCTATTTTTTTATATGTTTCCCGAAGGGCGAGGATGTAGTCGCCGCTTTGTCCGCTATTCCTGTCCAGGACATACCTCTGAAACAACAAGAGGTATCAACATGATACTTTGTAGGAAGTTAGATCTCATTGTGTAGATCTGTAGTGCACAATACCCTTTACTCTGTCTTATCTATTTTTGGAGTTATTGCCCTTTGTTCATTTTAATAATTTGAACTTTGTCAGCGACATTACTCTCACACTACGAGACTTATACTTTTCTGTGTCCAAAACCTATTCGGGGAGCATCACCCGGCTTAACAAGGTCTTGTTTGTTTTGTCGGCCAAACAAATTGTCATACATGTATTTTTATTTTCTTTGGCTGAAACATATTTTTTCTGTCTAATGGAATGGGCTTTGTAAAGCAGTTTTTTT